TTTCACTTATGGTTTATTATGCATTTTTTTGGGTTTAATTTATTTTTTTTTTTTTTTTTTTTTTTTTTATATGTTTATTTTTTTTAGATTTTTTTAAAATTGTGTATTATTAATATTTAAAAAATTAATAATCACATTTTAATGTTGCACAATTTATTTTAAAAAAAAATAAAATGACAAAAAAACAAAAATAGAGAAAGCTTTTAAATAAAAATATAAATTATAATTATAAATTATTATTTTATAAAAAACTTTTTGTATTTATTTTTTGTTATTTTTATTTTTAATATTTAACCTAATGTATTTTTAAGATTTTTTTTGTATAATTTATAATTTTGCTCATATCAAAGTTATATTTCCCTTTTATTATTTTTAAAGAAAATAACAAAAAAGTGTATATATTTTGCAAACACATTTTTATGAATAAAAAAAAAAAAAAAAAAAAAAGATATATTCAATTATTAAAGTTATTTATTTTATTTTATTTTATTTTATTCTATTTCTTATATTTCTTACATTTCTTATATTTCTTATATTTCTCATTTAGAAAATACAAATTTTATAACTCTTATGAATATTATCCTTGAAAAAGAGATAACCCAATTAAAATAATTTTTATCTATAAAGATATGTAAACCTTTTTATTTTTAAAAATTAAAATAAAATATATTTGCTATTTTATAGCAAACCTATGTAATAACTTTTGTTTTAAAAATTTTGTTCATTAAAAATTCGAATACACAAAAACAATTAAAGTGAAATATAAAAAAAAAAAAAAAAGAAAAATAAAATTCTACTAAAACAAAAAGCAAACTTCTTGTATAACAAAAGATTGTTTTATATTTATATATGTAAAATATAGGAATATAAAAAAAAAAAAGAAAAAAAGAAAATCATATTTGTAAATGTAATATATTATAAATGTTAAAATCAAGCAAATCAAAAAAAAAAAAAAAAGAAAAAAAATAGAGAAAATGAAGAAAAAAAAATTATACTGTAAAAAATTGTAAAACATAATAAAAGATAGAATAGAAGACAAACAAAAAAAGTTTTCATTTCATAAAATTGTGTTTTTATATAACAATTCTTTACAAAGCATGGTAATTTTATACAAAAAAAAAAAAAAAAAAAAAAAAAAAAAAG